GCACAAAGCTTCAATATTGCGGAATACAGTGACCTACGGTTGCGTGAATGAGTTGGCTTGCTCTTCGTATTGCTCGGGAGTGGGGGCTCGCTATTGGGAATCTCATCGGCACCATCTTTCCAGGCCCACCAAAGCAGGACGGGGGTAATGTGAAGCAGCCTCCGCCATTCATCAGCCTTCTTCAGCGACTGGTTCTCTCCGAGCTGATAACCCATGAGCCCATCCGAGTCGCAAGGAGGATAACAATGCACATACGTTCTTGGGCAATCGTGTGACATGGCTAGGCCATTGCACCGAGTTAACGAGATCTTCGAACCGCTGCTTTGAAGAGTGGGCACCGCCGGCTGCTGAAAACATGTAACCTGCGAAGAGTACTTTGACGAATAGATGTCCGATGATGCCTATTACGAGTCCTGAGGTACGAAGGTCGAGTCCTTACGCGCAAAATATGCCTGCGTGCCGAACGTTGTACCCCGTGAGAACCGTTTGTGCCGAGAGGTCGTGGGAGTTATGTTTTGTATTGCAGACTACATTTCTGAAACTCCGATTGAAAGTCCGGTTGTATGTGAGACTACAAAACCACTTTTGGCGCATTTTTGTAGTCTCTGGGACCATTGTTTGCTCATTTGCGGGCTCAATTCTTCGTCTTATATCTCTTTTATTTTCTCTAGTCTGGGGTGTATGCTATACGGGTCTACAACAATATGTTCGTGAATTTATCGATTGTGTGTCTTGTCCTAGTCCGCATGGCGGTTTTACTCGTATTGCTTATCGTGGGAATTGACTATTGTAGTGGCTTGTAGTCAGTGGCTGAGGTGCGGGCCGCGTCGGTTTGGATTCCTGGACTCTGATTGGCTCCTGCCTTCTATGACATAGGCTCTCTGCAGGTTCACCCGATCTGCAGAGCCATTACATCATTGGTATCTGGAATTGAGTGCAGGCTGTAGAAGGGCCAGAAAAATTGTGAAAAATGTGGGAAATCCATAATATATTCAGCGCTCAATAGCAAATCAAGGAATATACAAGATGATCCTGAGAGGTCTAGTGAAATTCAAATCATACTTCAAGAAAGATAGGAATATTTGTGTCAGCTCTATGATATACAGTGTAAAATAGGGAGTATCTTATGCCCAGCTCAAGACTCGTAACCAGCCATGCCCAGCATTGGCCCACTCCCCCCAAGTAACCAACCGCTATGGTGGGGTCCCGGGCTTAGCCAACAAGTGGTAAACTTACCAAGGAATATATTGTGCATGAAGTCGAGAGCGCACTTCCTCGTCGGAAGCCATTCAGGCAGCAGACTCTTGACGCACCATCGTATGCCGTAGTCATCCAAGATCTGAGTCTGTCGTAGTGGATGAGCACCCTTCGAGATGAAAGACTGGCGCAGCAGCTCCGAGTCATCCTTCTTCACAAAGCCTGAAGTAATAAATCAAAGATTAAATCATGACATTGGGGGACGGGGAACTGACTATCAGGTTCGTATCCCTCCGGTTTGTTTATATCCGTACTCGTCGCATGGCACCATGGGCAGGGCTGCATTCCGTGGGTGTGGGATGCCAATCCGCACATCTTCCGAGCGCCAGGAGTGTCGCAATCATCTAGGGTCTCATCAGCGAAGACTTCTTGTGGTTCTTCGCCAAAGATATCCATCTTCACACCTACAACATGGAACAGTTATCAAAACGATTCGGGAAAGGGTGTACATCACTTACCTTTCTTCAGTTCCGCAATTTCCTTCGTAGACGGCTCCATACAGTGATTGAGCTGTTGGGCCGTTGGTTCCTTCGGGCCGGGCATGATGCATGCGCAAAGCATGTTGCGCTGGACGAAGCGCTCTTGGATGGGAAGGTCATTGATACAGTAATAGATCGGGCCCGTTGAATGTGGTCGCTCGAGCATGCCAAACCTAATCAGCATCAATGATCAGGGTCTATAGATACAGGGTGAATGAGACGCACCAGTCAGCATTCATCGTGAGGTGTAAGCCGAAGCGATGGCTTGTTAGCTTGCGGCCCCCTCCGTCCATGGGAACATCGCGCACTCTTCCATTGTCTCCCAGTTCTCGTGAGAGTTGTGTCCGGCTCAGGTGCCAAATAGACCCGTCCGAAATGTCCCTCATGATGAAGTTCTCTAGTCTGAATCTAGTCGCGCCATGCTAACCGTGTTGGAGGATTTCGGCAGTTTTTGAGTCACATGATCTAATAACAATAGGACGCGTCGCGCGGTTGTTGACGCGTTTCCACTGTAGTCTTGCATGTCAGCCGCTGTTCCTCATACAGCAAACGCATTTTCATCTCCGGAAGGGCGTATCTGGACGCGCTCAATTCTTAGGAAGCTAGTTCCCTTCGATCCTCATGACTACCAGCTGGAGGGTGTCTGTAAATGCCTCGATGGCGTTGATTTGTTTGCTATAACGGCGACCGGCGATGGAAAGACAGGGTACTTCTATATGTACATTTTAATGGTAATCTATCTATCCAACAATTCCGCGGCGTGGCCCAAAGGAACCTTTTTCCCTCAAGACCCGGTTATAATCGTTGTATGTCCTACTAATGGTATCGAAGAACAAATGGTATGCACTGGATGTTACGCTCCAATCGGTTGCTGACGACACCATAGGCGTCTAAGATGACAGCATTCGGTCTTCGGACACTTGCTGTCAACTCCCACACCCTGCATGAGGCTGCGGAACGGAAGGAAGACTTATGGGTGATAGCGCGAACGCGTATAGCGATGCTCATGCTATCGCCCGAGCAACTAGTGGCTAAGGGATTCAAGAATTTGTTATCCCATGAACCTTTCTGGCGACGGATTGTTGCCATGGGCGTGGACGAAGCCCACCTGCTCTTGCAGTGGGGGAAAGGCTTCAGGAAAGCCTTCCTCGAGATAGGCTTCATGCGTGCCAGGTTACCGTCGCGGGCCGTTGTGATGGCCGTCACGGCGACTATGGCACCTGGGAAACGTTTTGGAGCTGTCTGTGAGCTTCTCGGGTACAAGCAAGGCGCATTTCATGAAATCCGGCGCTCAAACTTCAGGCCCGAGATTCAACTTCTGTTCCGTCCTCTCAATTGCGGCATTGGTGGCCGGCGATTCCCATCGCTCCTATGGGTGCTTTCGAGTCAACGGAAGACTATAATCTACTGCGACACGATCTCGCTGGGGTTCCGTGTCGCAGCATATCTTTGGTGCGCAGCAAGTGGCACGCCAGATTGCAAGACCCATATCCGTCTATACAACTCCCTCAACTGGAACTCGTACAACCTACAGACCCTGAAGCTCGTCTACGACGTCGACGATCCTACTGCCTACATCATTATTGCAACGACATCATTGTCGGTGGGTATCGATCCGCCGGGAATCCGGGACGTGATTCTCGTGGGAGAGCCCGACGAAGTTGACGATATGCTCCAGAAAATCGGGCGTGCAGTGCGAAACTGGGTAAAGTATAAGGATGGCCGTGGGATCGTCTACCTCACGGGCACAGCAGAGAAGAAAGCTGCCGCCATGTTGGCCAGGGCTGAGAAGGGCTTGGTGGACAAGGGACCCAATCAGCGAGGTGTCAATTCAACAACCATGACTATCGATATGGCGAGACTTATCTGTGCGAAGTGTTTGGTCAAAGAACAAGACCAGTACTATGGTAATCCTCGGGAAGATCCCCCGTGCGGCTGTGATACGTGCATTCAAAATCCTCGTCCCCGGCGTCCTCTCTCCTGCAACTGCAGCCGGTGCCTCCCCGAGTTGATAAGCCCCGTCGTCCCTATGTCAGCCCCATCTACGAAGGATCAAAAGCAGCATGAAAATGGTGGCCGGATGCTCTCAAAAGCCAGTGTCGATGTTGCTGACACCCGTCTGAGGAAGTTGCGGGTAGAGTTCTGGGACGCCGCTGCCGAGATGGACCATGGCTTCACACCCATCGAGGCGTTCCTCCCTGATTCGCTAATTGACCGCATTTGCCGGGCACTCCCCCAACTTACTACCCTGGACCAACTCTCTGCGATCTTGGGGGGGTATTTATTCGTGCTACCAAATCGAACTCGCTTGTGGGAGGTTGTGCAGGAGCTCCGAGCCGATCTGTCTTCGCAGGATGATCACCCGGACGAGAGCGAGATGATGTCCATGATGCTCGACCCGAGTGCGGGAGCTACGGCAACGGAATGTACCATTGTATTCGACGAACAGGTGGGTACGAGCTCAGCTCCTGCAAGCAACGATCCCGCCCCTACCAGTATAGAATGCGCAGCTGCTGAGGAGTCAGAAGGCTCAGCCATGAATTCGCAGTTCTCTGCGATGTGCTTCTCATGGCAGCTGAACTTATCGGCGAGTGTCCAGTGAGTCTTTCGCTAGTGTCATATGACAGCAGACACTGACTAAGGTACCATGGTATGCAGGGCAGAGACAGCGGTAGCTGCAAATGGTACGTTAGCACGCAAACGTCGAGCTTCCAATGCCAAAACAAGTGGGAACATTCGACGTGTAAAAAGACGGGTATGTGTTGTACTTTTCGTACACAACCGTGTTGCTAACTAGATGCTCAGGAGAAGGAAAATGTACCATGTAATTAATGTAATCGATAATCTAGTCTTCATCGTCATCGGACGTCACACCGTTGCCTTGCCCGTCGTCGTCTTGCTCAACCTCAATTACTAGCTCGCCACCCACAACTGCTTTACTGCCTCGACTAAGCTTCGGTATAGTCTCATCCTCACCCCGCTGATCCCCATCTTCTTCACATAGCATATCACTGTTGTCGGGGGGTATGCCTACCGCTACTGCCCCCTCCCGGCGAAGAGCAAGCCCTCGTCCATTTAATGTGTCAAGCTTCCATTTTTGTACCTTGCTCTCGAGAGCGAGATACCCACGTGAGTAGTCATCCACATCACGAGTACCCATCTCCCGGCCGCTTCGGAACATATGGAGCTCACATTCACGGTAGACCCGTAGGAGTTCTTTGACTTCAGGGCGAGTGTGAGGTGAAGTGTGTGCACGGGTTCTTACCTTCAATCCGACGCCCACTTCATACTCTGTCTTGAGACGATTGAAGTGATGTAAGTTGCGGGAGACAACCTCTCTCATGAATGGATCATCAAAATCGATGTTCTTCCTTTCAACCATCTCCTCGAGATCGAGATTGAAGTGTTCCTGCATTAGATCTCCTTCGATGTAGTGCCCTTCGACACCTGATGGATTGACCAGCCAATTGCTCAGAATGGCTTCCTTCAATGCCGGGCTTGACTCTAGCTCTAGACTGGTTATCATCTCCATAAGGTATGCCGTATATTTTGAATGAGAAGATCCCGCGAAGGTCACCAGCATGACCTTTAGAGTCTCGTAAACCCTCCCGCTGTCACCGAGGGGTGTAGCGATGGCAGCCTCTCGTGACAACATTGCATCCGAGAGGAATCGTTGCGAACGTCCCAGGACACGATCCCCTCGAAATGGTGTACGTGCGGCGCCCTCGGGACCGGCAGACCCTTCGGTGCCAGCTGAAGGCTGGCTTTCCTTGTGCCTGGTTTCACCTTGTACGTCCAGCTCCGGCTTGTCGGGCAGTGTATCCTGAGGATTGTCACTAGGTTTGTCCTGCCAATCGGAGCCGCATGGCACTCGATAAGCACCTGACTGACTTCCATTTAGTGATCGTTCGTAGGCGCGCAAAGAGGTATATGTGCGATGGAGTGTTTTGGCGGCCTCTTCGAGCACTTCAAATGTTGGTAATTTGTCATCATCTTTCAGTTTGCGAAAGTATTCAAATATATCCTCAGTGCCGAAATATAGTCTAACTATTTGATCAGTATCATGTCCAGATGGAGTGCCTGAAGTGCGCCATACCTCCAGCAATCTAGGAGCCGTACATCCAGTACCAGGTAGGCTAATTGAGATGCTGGGTAATAGTCGACCTTCGATAGATTTGCTGGTGCTTTCCGTGAAATAGCTGCTGCACTGTGGCCTAATGCTGAAGGGTCCTTTGTGAGTGTTTCTCCCCAATGCGTTTGAAACAGTCGGCTGAGGTCCGTCCAGGCTGTATGCCATAATTCCAGCAGGGGTTCAAGCATGCTGAAATTTTGAAAATCGTCCTCGTGGAACTGTAAGTATCGTTTCAGCTGGTGCACGCGCTCGAATGTCATGCCGTCCCCTCCAACCAGGACAAGGCGCCGCTGATAATTGCTTTCCTTTTGCCCCATTTGTCCCAAGAAGTCAACCAATGCATCCGCAAGTTCAGTGGTTAAGTTCTCGTCCTTCTTGATTGTACTGAGCGGATGCACTTCTGTTCTCTCGGCGGCGGAGGGAGCATGCTTTCGTGCTCGTGTCTTGTACAGCATGTCAATGTGGTCTTTCATATGTGCCAGCTCTGGTATGTACCGGATGAGAGTCTGGATCCATTGCAGGACGAAAACCACTTCGAGATGTGTTTGATCGATGAGCTTCAAGAACCAGTCTGCATTGATGTGCTTCCGCAGGTTTTTCCGTAAGCGTTCTTTTTTATCGCTCAGATCCCATGCTGATGGATCAAATCTTGTTGCCTTCACAGCGGTCGCGGCCATCCCCTTCAGCATCTGTGGCTTACTTCCGATGCTTTCCTCCCATTGCTTAGCATATCGTTGCACATTATCCAGCCGGAGCGTGAGCCAGTTCTCTTCACTTCGTCCGAGCTCACGAACTGAAACAGCCTCTTCTTCAGACAAGTGCTGCAGAGTAGCACGGATTGTACTATATGAGGGCATCAGAGCGACACGGCTGTTGATGCGGTACAGAAGATACGGTGCTCCTGTCGCAAAGTATAATAGCCCAAGTGTTAGTGGGAGCCGCTTAGCCTCATGAGTGCGTGAGTAATTCAATGAACTGAGGATGTGCGTGATGATCTTAGGCGATAGTTAGCTGCAGCGCTTCTGATGAAGAAGTATCACGTACTGCCTCAACTGGGCGCTGCTGCCGTTCAAGTATCTTCCCTTCTCGTACGCGGGGCTTCCTTGCAGCTATCTTGGTGAGGTAATGCCATGTTAGACCCTGGTGTCTCTTGAGGATTCCGCTAATGTCTCCGACGGTAGTGGATCCAATTTCGGCCCAGTGAAGGCCTCCTTTGCCACGCTTGCTTGAGCCAATGGCATGCAAGCCTGAGGCTGGTCGGACAGCATCCTCCGCCTCTCGAATTAGCTTCTTCTCCACCAGTTGCGCTGCGAATGCAGAGATTCCCGGTCTCGCTGGCTTGATGGAGGTTGGAGGCATGCTAACCGAATACATAAGGTGCTCGGTACTCGTTTCTGGCGCTCCGAAGGGGCTATTATACCACGCTTCGAGTATCTGCGTAGGCAGGTATGTATTGCGCCCTGCAAGGAAGTTGCTGATGAAGCGTGCATGACTGACAGACCGTGTGATCTTGCGGCCCTTATTGTCGGTGAGATTGACTGCAAATGCATAATGCATGAAATCCCCAAGTGTCCAATCGAGGCTCTTGATTGTCTGTAGGACAATATCCAACTTCTCACTTATACTCTTTCGCGCAGCATAAGTCTTCCTAGGTTGCCTCGGGGGCGGCGGTTCATGAGCACAGTCTCCCTTGTGCACTGATGAATCCAGGGTTACAGGCTCGGACTGTTGGGCCTGGCTATATTCAGATTCCTGAGGAGTCTGCTGTTGTCTCAAAGAACTCGAGGAGGTCCAATCGGGAGGTTTTAGGAGGTCATTATAATATTTAGTCGGATGTGATTGAGGCTGTATGGTTGTTTCAACAGGCAATGTCTTGTCCCCTGAGGTCTCGCAGCTGTAGTTGGCATCGGAGCTCAAAGAGACGTCTCTGGAAGTCTCAGACATGATGATATTGTTGCAATCAAACAGAATAAATGCTACGCAAGGGATATATAGCGTGCAAGGCAAAGGACGCTGAGGGGGCGTGGGAGTGGGAATCAGTCACGTTACCTGAAATCCTCCAACCCGGTTGAAGTGCCGCGACAAGATGCAGACCGTTATATGCCGACTGTCCTAATTAAGCAACCGAAGAAGGAGGCGTTTACGGTCTGCCCTGGGAGACTAGAAGTTCTCATCATCATTCTTGTCCAGGATGTCGTTACGGCTATCTCGGATCATCTGCGCAAAGCCGGGGCGCCTGAAAAAGCGTCGTAGTGTCCCGATAATCGATGTATGCGGCATGATCTTCAGTGCCCTTCTCTTCGTCTTGCCTTTGGAGTCCTTGTATGTTTCAAACACATCTCCGTGGCAATCCTCTAGAATACAGTGGGTCGATGGGAGCTCCAGAACCTCTGCCGGGGTATAATGCTTCCAGCAGACCGTGCAGAGTGCATATTGTGTGATGTACTGGTCAGCGTCCAAACCAAGACGCCTCTTTGCACTCACGAGAGTCCGAACAGGGCGCGGGACCAGCGGTAGGACACCGGCAATAGAGAGCGCGTTGAGGGTACCATTCAACTGATTGGTCGCTTGCTCGATGGTAGCATTACCGAAAATATTAGCAAGGCATGCTTCGAGGTATGCTAAGCGCACAGACGGCTCTTCG